CCCCAAGGGATGACGACTATGTCGAATGGTCATAAACTACTGCAAGACCGTTTCAGGCTGGACATAAGGAAGAACTTCTTTACTGTCCGAGCCCCCAAGGTCTGGAACAGCCTGCCACCGGAGGTGGTTCAAGCGCCTACATTGAACACCTTCAAGAGCAAACTGGATGCTTATCTTGCTGGGATCCTATGACCCCAGCTGACTTCCTGCCCTTTGGGCAGGGGGCTGGACTCGATGATCTTCCGAGGTCCCTTCCAGCCCTAATGTCTATGAAATCTATGAAAATCAAACAAACATAATTAAACACAGATGAGATTTTCTGCACAAAAGATTCAAGCACATTACACTATGCCCCCACACACATCTGAATGTGCTCCTGTTCGCAGCAGTTCAGTCTGGGGCTGCTCCTGCCATGGTTGGGAGGCAGCTGCCTGGCAGCTGGGACAGCTCTCTCCACCTTGCAGAGATTGGGACAGGTCCCAATATCCATGGGGCTGGTAGGCAATGTCGCACCAAGCTGAGACACCTCTTCCTGCATCCTGTGGCCCCCCACTACCTAGGATGACCAGAAGCAATTTGTTCCCAGTCAGCGTCTACATGTGCACTTTGACACATTCATTTAATGCACCAATTTCTAGTACCTGAATGTACAGGTACTAGAAAATGTCACATTAAACTAATCTACTGTGCAGTAATCACCGTGCACATGTAGATGGTGAAGCTTTATTGTGCATTAGATTAGTTATTGTTTTACGGTTTTATTTCACAATGTTTTAAAAACATTCTCTAAGACTAACAAAGAGTAACTCCGTGATTTGCTAACCCTTACACAAAATAAATATGGTTTGGTTAGAGGTAGACACAGCTTAGAAATCCTATAATTTTCCTTATGACCTCTGGGAATTATTGAATAGAAAAAAAAAAGTCAGCCTCCATTATAGAAAATTAGGTGTCATCCTCCCTTGGTAAAAAAAACATGGGTTGGGTGCTCAGGGAAAGAAAATCTCTGAGTTTACAGAAATTTCTCTACATGGTGTGACTGGGGAGAGGGAAAACAGAATTTTCTATTGCTTCCTACAAACACTTATTCAATCCCTGTGATCAGTGTGGCTCTTTGGTCTGACCTGCACTCACTGAAGTGAACTGACTAGTTTTTGGATCAGACTTAAGCATGAGTGAGGCAGTAAACTGCTGACCTCTGTTGAAACTGATATGCAGTGGTAGAACTTCCAGATCCTTATAAAACTTTAAGGCCACAAATGATAGTGCTTCCAGGGGAAGGAACAAGAAATGTAGGTATCTTCAGGATTGCAGATCTGGATGTAGGTACTAATTTCCACCTAAATCCTTTATTAAATGTGAACCTGATTGCTAGACTGGCACTATCCTCAGACCACAGGGGACAGCTCACAACTATTCTGCTCCTAAAGAGACTTTGATAATGATAATTACGCAGGAACAAATTTTTCAGGGAATATATGACAGTCCTCCTCTGTAGGTGGTGTTTCTTCTTCTCCTTTTGGAAACACACAGAAAGACTAAGGCCACATATGGGCATTCCAATACTATCCAGAGAATTGGTGTTTTCCGGGTAGAAACTAGGAGCATGCAAGCATTTGTTCAGTTTCTTCTGGAAGGAACATGCCCTTTCTGGGAGAAAGATCTTTTAGGATGACACCTGGAAAAAATTCCCTGCAAAAGAGTTTTTTTTTTGAAGGAATGAATGCTTCTACACTGGTTCACTTCCCTTCTGGTCTGCAGAAGATGTGGAGAACAGGGGAGAGGGTTGGCTACAGGCTGAATGCCTGTATAGCTCCCTCTCCTGGCAAAAAAATTCTAGTCAGGGATATTTCTCAGAAATTTCTACCACTAGAAATGAATGCTTATTTATACTCTAAGATTGTCCCTGGATCTTAGGTTGATATGGGAAGTGTTTGACTTCTTGCCCCAACCCTCTTCCACTCAGAAGCGTACGAGGCTTGATGACTACTTGCATCATTGGAGCAGCACAAGGCAGTCAGAGTGAACCAGTCAATCTGGCCCTATATTTTTAAAATAAAGTAAAACACTTTTTAAAACCATAACCTCCCTCTTATTACTTTTGATGCATACTTCTTTATTGACACTTGTCAAGCACTTTGTTTCAGATTTGCATTACATATCAGAGTCTTGGAGAATTAGTTATTGGTATGAAGGGATTGTAAAAATAATTTAAAACAGGAGAAATAAAATCCAGGACAAGTTTATGTTGAACAGGTGACAACTAACACCCCTTTGTGAAAAGAAAAGGCTGTCCTTATTTCCAGGTCCAGGACCAAGACATGTGTCAACTGATTTCAAGTTAGGACTCTCTTAGTGCTTATATTATTGTAATAGTTTGTAGTTATTCAGAGCCACATGGAGGTAACTGAGCTGCTGGGGGGGAAGGGGAGGGGGTTGTGCAAATTAAATGTGCACACATTGGTTAAATCTTCAGCTGATGTAAAATTAATAGATTTTTTTAGTTTACAGCAGGTGAGAATCTGGCCCTGTCTATTTTATCCTAAATATCTTTGACTAGACAGTTCTGAAATTACGCTATAATTCTATACTACTCATTTATTATCTTATAATAATTATTTATACTTGGGCCATAAAACCTGACCAGAATAATGTTTTTGTTTTCTTTTCTTGCTTCAGATGAATTGGGCCAATATGCTGTTAAATGAGTAAGCTTTTACTTTACAAAAATATTTAAGTGATTTCCTTTTTATAGTAGAGTGCAGAAAGAGGTCTGGGTAAAATATTTTTTCTTGATTAAACACTAGTAGAATCTAAATTCAGCTTGTTTCACTCAAATTTAACTATGAAAAACAATGTGAATAAAGCCATGAAGGAAAAAAGCGTACTTAGAAGCTAATTTTAAAGGATCCAACTAATTATATGGTCATGCAGCCATTTCTTATTTTGGTCCTTTGGTAACCCAGATCCTGATGTTTAGATATGCACCCCAAAGGCAGTTAATGCAGTTCAAAACTTTTCCTTGTGCAGAAGCCCTATCTGTGGCATATTTCTAAAGATCCTGGGGTAGAGTTGCCTTATAGAAGCTAACTCTAGCTAACCCTTCTTTACAATCATACCATATTGAGGGCAGTGAAGTGGTGATAAATGTTCATTTTCATTTACTAGCAGTCTAGACTTCAATGACACTAAATGACAGGGCATGATTTTTTATATAATAATTTTAGAAAATAAATGTAATGTCTCTTCAGTACCTGTAGAGAACCCACTGTTGCACCATTCATATAGTTCCAAAATACTAGCTTGCACTTGGGTCCTGTAAGAGATATGACTGGAGTAGCAATATCAGCGGTGTGACCAAAGTTTCCATTTGAACTGTCTGCATAAAGGTACCAGCCTTCCCTTGTAGCCCTGTTCAAAGAAGCATATAATACTTTATGAAAAACCACACATCTGATAATCATAAATTTGTCCATATATTTAAATGGGAATATTACTCTGTATTCAAGTACCACTGTCTATGTGAGGCTCTAGATATTTGTAAATGAATCAATGCATCTCTAAAGTCACCCAAAACTCTTTAACGATGTGGCTCCAAAACTGTCTCTTGTTTCAATTATTAGTTCTGACCATTAGACACCAATGACCTGGCAATTGTACTGAGATAGGGACTAAGAATTTGATGCTTGTGCTTAACTGCTGAATTCCAGTAGGTCTAGGGAAGTGAGCAGACATTACAGAATCTAATAAATTGTTAGTAATCCAATTGAGTCTCCTTGAAGCCTCACAAGGAAAATATTTTTTCAAAGAAGACTTAAATATAAATCTCTTCATTAGATCTCTAGTCATAGAATCTGTCTCTCATATTATAGCAACTCTTAAAATAAAAATATTGTTCTGAGAGGTAAAATGATGACCATAAAAACAGAGTTCCAATAAGAGAAAATATGCAACTTTATCACCAGAAAGTCAGACTATTTTACATTTACTGCATACAGCATCTTTTATTAGATAATCTCAAAGAATGTTAAGCCCTACTTTCTCTTTGTGAAGTAAATAAGGGATTGTTACAGGGGGTACACTCAGGGCCCGATCTCATTCTGGTCCGCCCACCTGTTTCTATGGGCACCCACCCACCTCCTCACCTCCCATGCCTTGATGATATCTAATTAGGATGTTAATTAGGTGGGAGGCTGCCCATTTCTTGTCCCGATGCCAGGGGCGCTATCTGTGACTCTGTTTCTCCCCTACACCACAGCCCATGCCTCGCAGATGGCATCCAAGGATCTTAACATCACTGGCCCCACACTGGGCCCCAGAATACTCCAGTTCAGACCCCAACCATATCCCTTCAATCAGGCAGCCTATTCTACCCTCATTCTACCTAGCTCCCTGAACTCTTTTCCCTCTCGGGTGTGGTCTCCCCGGGACCTTTGGCCACACAGGCCCTGGCCCACCTCCAAGGCCAGTCAGAAACCCCAGGCCCTCAGCTCTGGACATCCCTCATGGTGGGCCCCTGGCCTTTGTGACCCTTCCAGTCCTGGCCCCAGCATTGACCAGTTGAAGGTGTTTCAAATCAGGTCTCTGATCCTCTAGCCCACTCCCTAACCTGGGTTCGCCTTCTTGGCCCTTCTATGGGGTAACCTACCTGTTTGGGAGCTGGGGTTATTAAGGTGCCCCGGCCCACATTTTACCGGGGTGGTAACTGGCCTGGTATTTACTGGAGGCTCCCATTCCACTGGGAGCCCCACCTGGCCACCCACTCCCGGCAGGGTGCAGTTTTAGGTCATGCCCAGGACCAGGAGCCTCCAAACCATCCCCTTAAACTCCTGCCCTTACCTCCAGGTTGCTGCATGCAGCCTTGCAGCCAGGTGATGTTTCTGCCCCCCTGCCGGCAGTAAACTGCTCTATTTATATAAGTGGCAAGAGATCTAAGATGACTGCCACAATCAAGCACCTGCTGGCTGCTTGTCTCAGTCCTTAAAGTAGCAGGCACCAACAGGTATATATGGATTATTTTACCCATCACTGAAATGCAGCTGCCTCTCAGGTAGGTCACTCTAGCTTTTGAATAGTGGGCACTATAAAAGTGCGTATAAATACAGAACTGGATTATGCTAATCCCAGCATCCTGTCTCTAAATGTGGCCATTATTAGGTGCACAGATTTTAAGGAGAGGATCATGAAGATGATTACATCTGACTTCCTGAAATAATTAAAGCCACAGAATATCAACCTCTAATTCCTTCATCAACCCATATTCTGTGGCTGAGTTAGAACATATTTTTAAAAAGCCATTCTCTCTTGACTTCAAGATTTCAAGCAAAGAAGAACCATTATTTGTAAATTGTTCCAATGGCTAATTACTTTTACTATTAAAACATTTGTTTCAGTAGGCAATGTGAAGTCCCACTAATGGATAATAACATCATAAACCCTCTCACATTTAAAGCCACAATCACTGGCTGGCGTATGTCCTGTGACTTGAATGCATACCCCATTTACAGTTTTATCCTGTTTAAGGTAAGGGCAGAAGATGAAGTGCAGAAAAATACCATACTATAACAATGTGAAGTTGCAGAGATTATTTGGTAGGGAGATTAATCTGTAAGTCTTTAGCAGGATGAAACAAATGGACAGCAACTATATTAGTTCTATGGTTCAGAACAGAGTAAAAAAAGAACATTAACGAGTTAAATCACCAACATTGATTTCATGGAGTTATTAAGCATTCCTTCAGTGTCATCCATACAAATACTGATCTAGCTATACCTTGCATTGCAGATGAGACTTTATAAAAGGATCATTGTATATGAGGTTTTGTGCATAAAACCTCTGTAAATGAAGAACTGGATTAATCCTAATGCCTCTTTACCTAGGATAAATGACTCTGCTCTAAATAATTAATACATTTATTGGGGGCTTTTTAATTTAAAGCCAAGTATTAAAAGATTCCATGAAATGAAGGGATATAGGCAAAAGGTGTTATGTTATTTTATGGATAGTTTCTCATATATTAATTGGGATACATGAGGCATGTATGATTCATAATGGAAAAATGGAGAAATATATAAGAATTCAGCTGTACGTGAAATGGGTCAACCTAAGCATATAGAGAAAATGTAAATACTTGCAGGAGAATAATAGTAATGATTAGAGTTAACCTTTGTACTGGCATCATAAAACATTGCTAGTCACAGCCTTTAACTATTCCTTCCCTATAATATTAGGGAGGTGCATGGAAGTTTATAGTAACTTTTTCCAATTTGTTTTATAAGTGACATATTGGTAAAGCTTGTGGTAAAAAAGCACAATGCAATATCTTTAAAAGTCAGGGGCATAACATCAATTCATGTAAAACACATAGCTTGTTTGATTTCAGTGGAGACTTATACCAGCAGAAGAACTGACCTTAGGAACGGATTTTGTGTGACAAAAGTGATGGTCTGAGGAAATCTGAATTGGCTTCATATGTGTCTTTTTTCCACCAGTGAGATGGAAGAAATGGCTGTAGGATATTTCTTTTATCTCCATTACCTTGCGGGGAAGATCCACACACCCTTCATAGCTATTTGTATCATTACCAAGATGATGACGTATGTATTTGTAAGGATGCTGTTTCAGTTATAAAATAATACAACAAAATGTTGTGTATAGTTTAGGTAAACTTCAGGTGAAGTAAATAATGCAGCCAAAACAGTTAAGAGTTGCACAACATTTTACCCGTTTATCCTAATAAATCCTAATTTCTTCTAATAAGTACAGAAATTATGCAAACCAGCACAGTTGCCAATGGCTTTCTGATTGAAATGGGTTTGCACTTGCCATTCTCTTAACTATTCCTATTGTGCAAAAACATTGTCAGCAATATTTAGCAATCCTGTTGTAAATTTCCTGGTTTTTGCTTTGAGCTTTTTTCTGTTAAAATCTTTTCAGTGGGTTTGTAAAGGATGGCTGTGTAATTTAAAATAAACTGCTCTCGTAACTCTGGCTGTTTATGCACTGCTTCAGTGGCCCAGCAAAGTCAGCTGATCATCCAATGAGTTGCGTGATGCATCAAAAACAGGAGCTGAATTATGGTGGTTTGATTGCTGCGTCCCTTACAGTCATCTTACTGAAATTAAATAATTTCATGAAGTCTCACACTTACATTAGTTTGAAATACTTGGTTGACTAGCACTACCATAATGAAGCATAGCTACACATGCTTCATAGACTGTGTCAGATCTTAAGGGATGTGGGAATGCTATTTCCATTTGGATGCTTAATAACTGTGCCATTTTGAAGTCCAAGGAGATGGAAGACCTTAAAATGCTCTTTGCCTTAGTTTCCCTGCTTATCAGAAGTTCATATTTAGTGACCCATATTTGACTGAACTGTCTCTATTAAAAGTCATCTGTAGTAAGGCTGTGCAAAGCTTCAGTCACTGATTTGATTCAGTGGAGATTCAACCTGATTCAGTAGCTGAATCTCTGAATCTGAATTGAATCAGAAGACCCTTTAATCTCTCTGAATCCAATCAGGGCCCTCCAAATTGATTCAGAGAGATTCGGAAAGATTCGATGATTCGGACATGGACACAGCTTTAAATGTTTTTTCTACATACCTCAAGGTACCAGGTGGCTCCTGAATGCTGAAATGGTGGGGCAGATGGAGCATCCCACAGCAGCACGGGGGGGTCTGCAGCATGCTCAGCTGCAGACACAGAAGTGGACCAGAAGCAGTTCCGGTCTACTTCCGGGTCCACCGGGGAGCACACAGGGGAGCCCCCCCGTGCTCCTCCTGACTCAGTGACTGGTGCCTCCTAGGTCTGGGGAGGGCACCCAGGGTCCCCCTATAGCTGATCGCTGATCTGGAAGTACTTCTGGTCCATTTCTGGGTTCTCTGCCAAGCACGTGCCCCCGCCACCCCCTGCACTCCTGTGGGACACTCCATCCACCCCAGCATCACAGCCTTCACGAGCCATGCCTGGTACCTTGAGGGACATAGAAAAAACATTTAAAGCTGTGTCTATGGCCGAATCACTGATTCTCCAAATCAGCATTGACTCTTCTGATTCGGATTCAGCTGAATTGAATCAGGGACAGTGATCCAAATCAACGAATCAAATCACTGTCCCTAAATTGGACTGAATCCAAATTGAATATGGCCTGTTTCACACACCCCTAATATGTAGCATGGACACAAAAATACTAAGCAACAACAAAGAGGGAGAAGAAGAAGGGTCTAGGCTGAGATGTATGCAGTATCATAATTTATGTAGCTTGCAACTATGGTAATCTTGTAATTAATCCTTAGCTGCAACTCACACCTTGTAACTGTGAGGTGCAATTGCTGAAGTTCTCTCTAAATTGGCCTTTCACTAGAGAGGCTTTTCTGTTGCCCTCAGCTTATGTACATCATGATATTAA